TCAAAACATGCTGAGCTCTAAAAATCAATGTTTGCAATTGGTTTTCACTGACCTTCAGAGATCTACAGCTGTATTTATTACTGGAATAAACACTGTTTCCTTCATTTTAAAGAAGCCCTGACACATTTGTGAATTGCAATGACAAAGCAAGTCTAAGACAGCTGGCAATTTTCAAGAACATGAGTGACTACAACACCTGGCAATGTGGCCGTGTCTGAGGTGACAACTGAGGTGTTGAAAGTTGAGTTTAACTTTATGCAAATACAGCAGCATAAAGTCTGGTTTATTTTACAGCTAATTCTGTGCAAGATCTACCCACTCGGACAGAAAGAGGACGTATGTCCGAAGTTTTTTGGCACACTACCTTTCAAGGTTTGGGGTTGGTTATGTTTTTAAGTTTTTTTTTAAACAAGTCTCTTATGCTTAACAAGGCTGCATTTATTCAATCAAGAATACAGAAAAAACTATAATATTGTGAAATATTAGTGACATTTAAAATAACTGTTTTCTATTTTAATATATTTTACAATATTATTTATTCCTGTGTTGGCAACGGTGAAATAATTCCAGTTATCCTGAAAGATTTCTTATAATATCAATGTTGAAAACAGTTTGCTGCTTAATATTTTTGTGAAAACAATGATACTGTTTCTTTGATGAATGATGAATAGATAGTTCAAAAGATTTATTTGAAATGCAAATATTTTGTAACATCATGTCTTTACTGTCACTTTTGATCAATTCAATGTGTCCTTGCTGAATAAAAGTAAATAAATAAATGATCATACTGACCCTAAACTTCTGAATGGTAGTATACGTCTTTGCGAAGCCATTGCTACAAAAACACACACTAACAGGTATATGTATACATGTGTCAATAAGCACAAAACCACAATGTAAAAGTAGCCCATTCTGACATGGCCTGTGAATCTCCACTGCTTCTGGACTTTCCTGGCTGACTTCCAAAACAGGAATGCCAAAGTTCTTTAGCAAGAGCAGAACACTCACCAGGAAGAGTCAGCGTCAGCGTCAACAACCTCCACAATTAGATGTGGAATTCTTGCCCTCCACTTGCACACCCCATGAGAGCTGCTGCTGAGACCTACTAGAGTTCTGAGCAAAACAACTCCCTAATGCTTTTGTTATTTGAACACTTGCAGGTTGTTCAATTGTCAAACAGATTCTGACAGCTATTTGTACATGTAAGCACATAAAGATAAAGTTAATTGTTATACAAAAACACTTTCTCCTTTCCTAGCTTGATACACACATTCAACAGTAAGTCATTTGTAAGTTGATTTCTCTGACAAGTGTAAACAGAGTGACTTTGCGGTACTATCAAAGCATTACTCTGTTTATTTAAACATCTCGACCAGTCCAACACTGGTTCACCCAATGGCATGCGTTTGGGGGCTGAACTATCTGTTTTTCTGACCAATGACAGAGGGTGAGAGATGTGAACCAATCTCTAAATGTAAACAATAAACTAGCCGTGGAACTTGTCCCTCACAATTTGCACTATGGACTTTAATTATATCTCAAATTCATCGACTCATTGAGAAGAGGTGTGCTATAACTTTTCTAAACAGCTCAACTTACGATTTTTATTTTAAATGGGCAAAAAATCCACTAAACCTATATTGTTTATGGCTTGAGACTCTCCTTTAGAGATCATTTGTAATAGAAACACTGGCTCTGTTGTTTGGGGCAAGTAAGGAATAACCTAACAACACCCTGGCAACCAGAACAACCACATGATAACATGCTGACAACCATGAAAATCATCCTAGGATCATGACAGCAATATTTGCACAGGAAAGAGCCAATCATATTTTAGAAAATATAGTTCATTTTCCAGTTTTGCTTGGTAACACTAGTGGTGCAGAAATTAAATTTTAAATGTACATTTATGTATTTGGCAAATGCTTTTATGCAAAGTGACTAAAACATTTATTTTGTCAGTTCATGCATTCCTTGGAAATCAAACCCATGACCTTGGCATGCTAGCACTCCACTGTTAGAGCTGTAGGAAATGACACACTTCGTCTTTAACCATGGGAATAAAATGTAAACTGTGACAATTTAATTCAGTTGTTGACATGAAACAATAAGGTCACAATGGTAAAGATGTCATTTCCATTGTTTAGCCGAAAGGCGTCAGTCGTCTCTCTTCTATGTCAAGCACAGCCCCTGTGGCAAATGGCTGCAATATAACAAAGAGTGAAAAATTTAAGGGGGTCTGAATACTTTCCGTACCCACTGTAACAATAGACACAAATACACATTTGCTGTCATGTGTTCTTGGATCCCAGGGAGCATAAAAATGGGTTGTCAGTTTTGTTTACCACTTCTGCCAATGTGCTGTCTCCCTGAGCACCTCAAGTGGCTTTGCAAATAGTCATTGGATTTGCTGGGAGTGCTGGGTCGTTATTAAAAGGTCCCCAAAGCAATGTTCCATTTCTTTTATGAAGTTTGGTTAGAATAAGAAGAAACTCTGATTTCCTTCAAAGGCCAACAGGTGAAAAGCATCCGCATATTCAACGGGTGTACGATGACAGCCAATTTATGAGAAAACATCTTTTGTCTCTCTCTACCTCATGTGTCAAATGCAGTCATATCTGGATCCTAGTCAAAGAAACTGCAACAATTTTTAAAAATGCAATAGTGCACAAATCAGATAATGCATATCATGAAACATAACGCACATGCCACTGCATGAATTACACCGCACCTTTGACCAGAGAGTGAATATGTAACTAATCTCACACTACCGATGACGTGTAATATCACACGCATGCATTAATGACAAATGTTTTACAGACTCAAAAGTGCAGTCTGTTTAGCACTGACTCCTAGAAACTTGGCAGGGAATCAGTCCTGATGTGGAAAAGGTTCTATTTAGGATTGGATGATACCGGGTTCATGGTGCACAATGTGTGGCCTTGTTACATAATAGTGACTGATTACATTCATTAGCTTTTTTCAAGCAGAGTAGTATGACTGGTTCAGTGCACAGCACACACCTTCATTTTCTGAAACAAAGTTGGAGTTTGAGTAATCAGTAGTCTATAAAGGTCAGGAGATATTAAACTGTGAGCTACACTGCAAACAGACACAATTAATACAGTATATAGAATAAAACATCTGACTTGATTTTGTGGTCTTCTTGATATTCTATAGCATATCATATAAAATAGAAACTGTCGAAAAAGTTGAATGGTATAAATAGAAATAACATTTCCAGCAGGTTATCAGGAGGACATCTTGATGCTGTTTTGCTCGGTTCTGTCTCCAAGAATGCTGTTCTTACACAAGAAAGATTTCATCCAGTGCGCACTCCCTCTGAGCTGGCTTTAAATTGTCATGCCTGAATATTATAATGCATATTCATTGTGGGAACAAGTCAGTTTGCTCAAAGTAAATGGAATTTCCTGTCAGGTCATAACCGTATGGACATTATGCTGTGCTTTCATGCTGCTCTACACAAAATAGGTCACATTCTAGGACTGACTGATACAGATTCCTTATCACATAGTATTTTCTAATCAATACTGCATCCTATTGTAGTGCAATGTATTCATAAATCTCTCTGCAATCTCTGTAAAATAAACTATATACATTATTCAAAGCTATGTTTCACACTAATTTTGTATGGCTTAAGCATAGGCTATAAAGAGCACCAGAGCATTGCAAGTATGTGCATACGAGGACTGCAGCGTATGTGGGTAGTTGATGCATGTTTAAGGAATTTTTTTTTAGAAGTCAGTTTAGGTTAAAAAGATTAACCACATTCTTTTTGACATTTTTAAACACTATTTGGGCATTTCCAGTTAATTTTAAATGGTCTTGCAGTGTGACAAATACATTTTTAAAAGAAAATATATTTTATGAAATATCTTAATATGAGGCAATTAAAGCTGCATGTATAATAATTATAAAATAATAAAATATAAAATAGTTTTAAATTGCGTATACAATGTCATTCCACATAAGATAACCTTAAATATAGTCTTAGGTGTGAAAAGCCCTGTTGCATCTAACAAGACCATTATTTCTATAGATCTTTTTCAAATAAAATATATGGACATTAAATATTTATTGAGCTAAAATATTCAGTTAAAATGATTAGAGACATAAAACAATAGCACACGGATGAATGATCAGTTATGCAACATTGCTGGTCATTATTCATTTGATGAATGCAGTGATTGACCAATCAGAATCAAGTACTCCAGAAAAAAAAATGTAATAAGGATGGGTAATTGACATTGAAAAATGGGTAGCTAATATTATGTAGTGACATAATTCATCTAAAACTATTATAAGCAAAAATATATACTTCTATAATTATTATACATGTAGACTAGACTGGATGCTAGACACGCTAGTTTAACTGTAGAAATTATGGAATAGTTGTACTTTTTCGTATAATTTTGTCATCGCAGGACCTTTCTAAATGAGCTAGTGAAGGTAAACGTGATTTAAAAAATATATATATATACACTTGCTCTTATACACAAACGTATATTTTAAACAAAAATCTTGATGTTGAGTATAAAAAAGTGCATGGGCATGTTATAAATATACACTGTTGCATGCCTTTTAACTGTCTCTGCCCCTGGCGTTATGAATATGAAATAATCATGTCACGGAAGTGGAAGAGCAAGCTCAGGTGACATCGCGAACAAATTCACTGGAAGTCTGCAGAACTAGTCCCGTCCTTTTGGCAAACTAACACAGTCCTATTTAAAACGCAAATATGCATTATTATTTTTAAACGCAGCCATAGTACAGTCTTGTTATAAGGCATCTAAGCTTAGGAAATGGTATAGTCGTTCAGCACGGGTCTGTCGCGCGCCTTATTTTACTCAATAACGACGATCATAACTCAGCATTACTATCATCAGCCTGTAATCTACAGTGATATAAAGTTACTTTAAGAGTGCGTTAATTGCAATGAGATTATATCAAGTTTTATGCGCTATTTTGATGACACTAACCTGAGATGCCTCCGCCAATCACAATCACATCGTATGCGTTCGCAGTCATGGTGCTGTTCGCCTCACTGGCGCTCAGAGCAGAAGAGACGCTCCGCATCTGTGTTCAAAGCATTCTGAGCCCCGCCCCCGCCTACTATCATTGGGAATGACAGATTAGAAGAGCACTGGGGTAAATGCACCGAAGCTCCCATCTACGTGCTATGTAATGAGTGCCAACAGGAGGAGGACATGTTTACAGTACATTATTGTACAAATAGTTATTTATAAAATATATAAACATTTGATTATACAATTTTAATAAAATTAGTGTATACATTTATAGCAAAAAAGAGAGAATTTGATAGGTCAAGCGACGTTCCAGAGCTCAAGAACATTTCACTGTTTTGCTGCGTCTGAAATTGCTCACTAGTTTAGTCTACTAATTTACTAAAATAGTACCTTATGCAGCTCCGCCTCTTTTCAGCACTGCGCTCGTTGTCTTCTGTCTTCCGCTTTGTATTTCCGCAGCAGGAAGGTAAGATCGTATGAATTTATGAATGAACCGCTCGTTTTAAAATCTAACAGGTCTACTGATATGATGTGTTATGACGTCACCTTCGAACATTACAATTCACATGATAACTTTCGTTAACTCTACAACAAAATCCACTTCACCAACTAATTACTCTTCAGCGAGCTACATCAAAAACGAAAGTTCAAAGACAAAGTTCTATAGATGGCTGCGCAATTGTTTCTCTGAACCATAAAGTCTATTAGCAAGCAAAGAATGAAAGTGAACGAATTCGAACACTGACATAATGTTTGTGTTCAGCATTCTTTTAATGGGTGCTAAACTATAGCGGGTTTTTTGAAAGTCCAAGCGTCGGTGTTTTCTTTTGCGATGGGAAGCAGAGCTATGCATTTTTTCCTGCAGCAAGGAGTGTTGTTGTTGTTGTATTTTTAACTGGTGGTGTTGTCTACCGGTTCACGATCGCTCGGTGCGGTGTTTCTCTCTCTCTCGTGCACATGAAGCAGAAAATGGAAAACCCGGAGTGGAATTGAAGCCGATTGATTATAGGAGGCTTTGAGCGGGATCTGTCGCTCAGCTCCACTAACGTACGGAGATCCAGGCCAGTTTTTATTCTGTGCGGTGTTTGGTGTCAAGCAAAGGTAGCTTCGGGTTAAAGGCAGAGTAAGTGATTTTTCAAAAACACTTTAGAAAACTGATTCGGGCCGAATCGCAAAACAAACTTGTAGCCAATCAGCAATAAGGGGCGTGTCTACTCGTGATGTGGAGGAGAGCGTTCAGTGCATGGGACGGACATTAGCCGAGCCGAGCGACAGAAAGATAGAGATGGCGGATAAAAAACAAAAGAGGAAAACGTCTGCGGAACGATAAGGCAAGAAGTAGGACCCGTGTAAATATCGGATCAGCTTTCCAGCGCTGGAGAGAACTCAAGGAGCGGAGGCCTGCGATCGGACGCCGAGGTTGCTTTGTTTCTTCTCAATAGGTGAGTAACACCGTGTCTACAACAACTAAAGTCTGCCTACACTGGACGCGAGAAAGAGGTCAAACGACCGTTGAAAACCATTTGAAATCGGTGTCAGCACGTCATAAATAGAACCCGGCAGCAGCTTTCTGTCGGGGATTTGTTGCGCCGCGCAGCTCACGTCCGTAGACACGGTGTAACATTGGTTTTGCTTTGATTCACAGAACTAATCGTTGCCTGGGTTGCGTACGTATATGTGGGGCGGAGCTATCAAAATAGGGGCAAGACCCTTTTGGGGTAGGGGCGTGTTTGTTTTGGTGATTTCAAATATCAACATTGGCTACCAGAAATCCCTTACTCTGCCTTTAATAGGCGAAGTATGCGAATAAATTGGCCTTTTTTGTCTGAAATGTAAGTTCTTGATATTATTTCATTTAAAAAACTGCTGTGTGTTATGCAAAATATACAATGAGTCGTAGGCCTATACTTGACACTGTGAATCCGCCAAGGTACAGAGTGAACAAAACAATCCTACCAACAACAAGATAAACACTGCTGCAATATTTCAGTAATATTACTACGGACGTCCTCTGAGGATATTTTCTTTTTAAACTACTTCAAATTTTCTGTCTAGGCTTTCTTAAGCCAACATAAAGTTTGTCCTGACGAACTTTTAAATCTAGTTTTCACTGTAATCTATAGCTGAAACGCAGGTGTGTGATACAATTGATACATGAAAGTAACGTTGATTAGCAGTTACCCAGATGAGTGGTATGATAAACCAGCACAGTGTAGCATGGTGCCAGATTTTGATACACTTTATATTTACTCTTTAGGGGATTCTAAGCACTTTTCAAGGGTTCAAGAGGTTCTCCAGAGTATCTAAATCATAGATTATCTAAAAAGACACGAAGTACATTCGTTGCACTGTAAAAGATAGAGGGGTTTCACAGACTTGCAACTAAAAAGACCCTCTGTTTGTTTGTTACAGTGCACTGAATGTACTTAATGTATTTTTAGATACTCAATGATTTTGAAAGATTTTTGTGAGCAATAACATTTCCATTTGAACTTCCTTTAAAATTAAACATGAAGTTTACACTGGTGTCCTAGCAGAGTAACCATAGGTGTAGTTCATGAACATGATGAACTAAGTTTGACAGCTAGGAAGTGTCCTGTATGTTTTTGTGTCTTTTAAACCCTAACAAATGCTTTTTTTGTGAAATGTGTGTATATACTACTTGGTCTGTGTTTTGCTGTGTACCTGTTATTTTGTTTTGTTTTTTTTTCTTTTCTGATAGAGTTTCTGATAGAGTTTGCTGCCATCTGGTGGATGTAGTCATGTAGGTTGTGCCTGTAGACTCGCGCTATGAGATATATCATAGAATATATATATTTTTAAACCTCACTTACTTCAGGATGGGGCTATCAGGCCATACATTATAATGTCCATAATAAGTATATGGCAGATAATTAAAATCTATTGTTGATCTCATTTGAGTATGCAAATGTACCCAAATTCAACACAAGCACATCTTTTTGCCCTTAATAAGATATTGGTGCCCTATATACCATTTCTGCTGACAGATCCATATACCTTTACTAAAATGTTTGTTAGAAAATCATTGAAACATGAGAGAGTCATTGATAGTGCAGTTTATATGATTACAAGTTTATATGATGACAGCCATAATAAGATAAATGAAAAGTCTCATGTTGAATGGTTCCATGTTAAGGAAAAGAGATGTTGAGTTTGTAGTCCTAAAACCTGGAAAGAAAATGACGGAGTCATGGGTTCCCTATGGAATTTCAGATTGGCAGATTTTGATTTGAGTAAAATAAGGTCTGTGGTGGTTACCATTATTTGTAGAAATGTTTCAAGATTGTTTTTTTTCTGTAAAAAATGTATTAATTGGACAACCAGTACTTGTACTATAGAAACTTAAATTTTTGAACTATGCAATGGTTTCCAAACTCATTTGTCTAATTTATGTTATAGAACAAAGCATGAAATCCTCCTCAAGTAATGTCACCACAGACTTAACTTTACTCAAAAATACCAAACCATTATGCTGTGTTCCAGGCAACTCAGAATTCTGCCTCCTCCTGGAAGAGTATTTGAGGTCAGACACCCGGCTTTGACTCAGACTGTTCAACCTCAGCTTCAGTGAGAAGCATCTTTTAGCATCTTTTTATCCAAGATGCAAGCGACAAATGTTACACAAAACTAACTTTTAAGTATTTCAATTGAACAAGAGTAGGTATAAACTTAAAATACAATATTAATATAGATACAGTAAATCTTAATAATGTATAACCTAAACTTAATATGAAATATTAAAATATTAAAATATGCAATAATACCTGTTTAGAATAAGTAGCTGTGCATCCGTGATTGTCTACATTTTCAGTTATTGTACTTGATAGTGAGATACTCTCTGATAAGATTGTTTTGTTTTGGCCGGTTCTGGAAAGCTTTGATTAAAGACTTGGGATATGCAACGTTTGAAGAGGATCAAAAAAGTTCATCAAAGTTGTCCTAAGACAAGAACACATTTTGGTTTTAGGGCAACTTTGATGAAAGGTTTTAATCCACTTCAAATGTTGACTACTAAAGTGTAGGGTTGTATAGACTTTTTTAAGCTTGATAGCTCTTATATAGGCCTACTGTATACTTTCATTGTAGGGAAAGGACCTGCATGGACTTTCTTCATAGTATCTCTTGTAGTGCTCCCCAGAAGAAGGAAAATTACATTAAATTGAATAAATAATGACAGAATATTAGTTGTAATAGTTCTTTCAAGAGAATGTAAAAAAAAATAAAAAATAAATAGCGCGAGATAAAGTCCAGCTACTATGTCGGCCACAAGAGGGCGTAATTGCTACGTAAGTGTGCAACATGGAAACTCAGCTCAAACAGCAACAGCACCTACAGTGGGTATAGAAAAGAACCACCCCCCTTTAAAAGAATCACATTTTGTTGCTTTGCATCCTGAAATGAAGACAGACACCGTTTTTGTATTATCCAGCTGTATTTACTCATTGCAACTTATAAAATTCAAGTGAAAGATATAATATCAACATGTCAAAAAAAAAAACAGAATCACAGGATCACACCCTTGTGTCAGTATTTTGTTGAATCACCTTTTGGTTTAATTACAGCTTTTAGTCTGTTGGGATGTGTCTCTGTCTCTACTAACTTTGCACATCTAGACTTTGCAATATTTGCCCACTCTTCTTTGCAGAACTGCTCAAGTTCAGTTCAATTTGATGGTGACCGTTTGTGGACTGCAGTCTTCAAGTCAGAATCACTGAGTTGGAAAAAGGATCAGCCCTCATAAATATGACTTGTAAACTCATCAGGTGTAGCTAATCACCTTCTCAATGGCACAAAAAGCCATCTGACTATCATTTCAACTGTGATCAGTTGTAGTCATTTTGATTAGCTCAGCATTAAAAAAGCTTTCCTGGAGCATTTCAGTCCTTGGTAGTGCAACTGAAGCAAACAATCAGCTATGGGTGGTAAGGCACTGTCAAAGGATCTCCAGGATAAAGTTGTGGACAGGCACAAGTCAGGAGATGGATAGTATCCTACAGCAACTCTGAAGCAGCTGCAGGAATTTAT